TATCTATCTATCTATCTATCTATCTATCTATCTATCTATCTATCCATCTATCTATCTATCCATCTATCTATCTATCCAAATTCACAGCAAAAACTGTCCATCTTACCAAGTTTTAAAATCTTATATCAGCCAAAAAGTCTTTTTGATCTTGTTTTGAGACTGATTTACTAAACAAGAACTGATTGTGTAAGAATAATAATCTTGTTTTCAGAATGTGTAAGATTATTTGTCTTGTTAGTCTGAAAATTTGACTCAATTTAAGTGAAAATTTTCTGCTGATGGAGTAAGAAAATTTTACTTGGTAAGATTCTTGAAATACTTGATTTGACTCAGTTTTTTTCTTCACTGTAAGAAGTTTCAAGTCAGTTAAACTTGCAAATGAAAGTCCACCTGCTGCCTTAAAAACGCATGTTAACTCAACTTGAGGAATATTGTTGTTTCAACTCAGAAAATAAGGTTTTAAAAAGTTGATTGCACTACATTGTTTTTGTTGTGTCAGCAGTTTTTTAAGTTGTCAACATTGATTTAACTGTTAATCACTAGTTGTTTTTACTCAAGACTGTGCGTTGAAACAATTAAAAAATTAAACATCATCAACATTATCAATTTTCCTTAGCTAGTTGAACAAACACACATTTCTGTGTTAATGTAACTCACTATTTTGAGTTAAAATGATGTGACTTTACATTTTAAGTTAAGACAATTTAAATTCCAAATTTGTTTCAACTTACATGATAGATGGTGTTATAAATGTTTACAGACACCACAAGTTGTCGTTTCACCATATATTTGACAGTGTTAATTTAACATTCTGAGTAAATATCAATCTCTTTGTCAGTCGTTAGTAGAAAAGTAAAACGGAGCCACCCTTCACACACAAGGACATACCTCTCACTCATGGTGTTGATTTTTGGCCAATAACATCAACTTAAAGTTGAACAACGTGATAAAACTGAACAAGAAAACTAACCAGAACAACAAATTTTTACTTTCTTGAACATCTTTAATAGTCATAAACATGCAAAAACATCATTTCTGTATGATTTCTCAATAAGGAATGCTGGGTAAATACTGGTCTGTCTGACTTTCAAACCCAAGTTCAATCAAATCATACAAATTCCCAAATAGTCAACACAATGAATAACTTTAAGTTTTACTTTCCCGACTTTTTCCCTTTCCCTTTTTTTCAACTGGTGACTTACAAACTCAAGTTCAGCCAACACTTACAAATCTGACAAATTTCTCAAACAGTTAACACAATGGATAACTATAAGTTTTATATTTTAAGACTCATAAAGTTGAGTTAAAAATCCAAAACTTGTCAGAGCTCTTTGTGTTAAAGAGAAGTAGCAAGTGGGGATAACTAAACAAGGGTGAAACTTTTAACAGTGTTATTTCAAGAATAATAAGATAAGATAAGAATAAGATTTTAAAACTTGGTTAGGTGGACATTTTTTTTGCAGTGTTTGCACTGACTTCTACTCATTGTATATTATTTTCTATAGCCTAACCCTGACCCTTATCCTAAACTTAATCTCCCACCAAAAATGGTATTTAAACTCATGGGGCCCAAGCTTTAGGCCACTTAAGGAGCAGTGGGTCCCCACGAGGTAGTATGTTTTGGAAAAATGGGACTTGCAAGATAGCCTATGCTAGAACACACACACATACACAGGTTTGCACAGCTATCCAAATGGGGACATTCCATTACATTTCTACAGCCTAACCCTGACCACAAACACTAAGGCTAACCTCACAGGTACCTACCTGACCCTAAAACTAACCTAAACTCAATTCACAGCTTGGTCCTAAACCCAAGCCCCAACCCATCAATGGCCTTTAAACCAAACAGGGACTCGGCTTTTGTCCCCAAAGGTAGGATTTTTGTCTTAAAATTGCCACCAAATGTCACCAAAGCCGACCCCCCCCCGCCCCACACACACACACACACACACACACACACACACCATATAGGTTTTAGTCATTTGTAATTAAGGCACACAGTGTAAAGGACATTGTTTTGTAAGCAAAACATTCACTCAACCTTTTTATGATGCACTGCAGCCTGATACTAGTGTCATATATATATTTATATGCACTAATGAGAATCTCTACTGCTAGTTGATTAGTGGATGTTAATCCTAAGGCTTTAGTTCTTGGCAAGTTTCAGAACAAAAAGCAAACATTATTTTTGAATGACTTATTGGAAGTGACTCTGTGGTGGTAAATTTGTTTCTGCAGAGACATGTGCTCTGATTGGTTGTGTCAGAAACATTTTTACGGGCTGCTTTCTTGATCCGGTTCGTGCAGACCTTAACCAATAACCTCGTGAGGGTGTGAGGACAATAACGTGTGTCTTCTCTCGGCTGTTGTCTTTGGTTTTGTGATGTGCAACAAATACAGGCTTCAACATCAGAGCATGAAAACTGCAAATCATTTCCTGGAGTCCGTGTTTTCTCTCTGGAGTTTGTCCAGAGAGAAATACATTTACAGTTCTGCTCGACTTCAGGCGAGCTTCCCGCTGAGCTGTGTGACGGCGAGCAGAGATGTGAACGTATTTAAAATTGTAAACATTGTGAAACAATCAATATAAGTTTTAATAGAGTTTTATTTCTCTGATTTACTGCTTTGTTCCCCTCTGTTATGGTAATCTCTTTTTTGTGGGTATTTTTTGCAACAACAGGCCTTTATTTCTCTGTTGGTGAATTTCTTATGTGTTGCTGTCATCATATCTGTCACTCCCCACTGGTTTCTTGGTTGCTAATTGAAAACTCAACAGGCGGTGAACACAAACAGATGGTCTTACATTTCTTATAGTAATGGGATGCACAGCTGATATACACGTTCTATACAAATAATAATGCAAATAACTTATCACTCTAGTAACTAGGAGAACAGATAAACTCATTTATGGCCTTTTATTCCAATCTGGTCTCCATTGTTGTGCAAGTTCACCCAAGATCAAAGTTTAGCTCAAGTTCTTCCAGTAAAAAAACAGACCCATTAGGTTCAAAATTCACACAAATATGAATGTCTCTCATGAACGAGCACAACAAACTAAAATAATCCTAAAATCCTAAACCCTAAAATAATCGCGTAACTCAATTTAACCAATTTTGGGAAATAATTTTAAGAAGGTGACAGTTGTCACCAGCCCGGTGCTACCTGTTGGGCTGTTGCTTCTTTTTCACGGGAGCTACTGAGAGAAGCTAGCATGTCAGATACGCACAGTTAGCCATCTTGTGCGAGCTTGATCTGTGCGTTTTTTTTCTCTTGAGAACTATTCCACCAAATTTCATCATGTTTCTGCTACAAGGCACTTGTTTTTATTGTTCTCGCAGTCAGATTCAAAGAAACCACAAAATGCACTTTGCCGCTTTATCCCAACTTTTGCTGTCGTCTTTTAGCAGGCTAGCGCTGAGCGGCAGCAGAATGTAAACAAGTGTTTTTATGGACCATGTACTATAAGCTGCTCACAGATAATGTGAAACTGCTTGATTAAAACAAAATGTTCAATCAGTCCATATGGCTTAAAATAAATTGACAAACAGGAAAACAAAGGATATTCTATCTTATATCTGAACGTTTTAGATAGTCTTGTGCAAACATGATAAAGTTCCAGTTATTTATCGTTTTTTTCTTTTCATTTTATTACAGTTTTTATTTATTTCCATTAACAAAACTGTTTTTTTCATTCCAGTTTTCATTATTTCATTAGTTTAAGTTAACTATATATAAGAACCCTGTGAATGTGTTCATGCACAATGCTGCTGATATGCTGGAAGAAAACACATCCGCACAAGCAGAGCAGCTGCAGGTGAGTGTGAAACTTTAATTACTTTTGGTGCACAAAAGTTTCTTTCTAATGAGACATCAAGAGGAAATGCTCCTCAGTTCCTTGTTTGCTTTTTTAGCTCAAATTAAAATGAGGCTGAGCTTTAGGTTAAATTTGGGGACCAGAATAATGAATTCCTCTACATGTTACAGTGTGTCTGTTCATGTGAAGGGGATCACCTCATAGATATGGAACTGTGACTGGCTTCTGGACATTTCTCTGTAGCTGGTGCTGAACTCGCCAATAAAGTCGTGGCTGCAAAAAAACAAAAAAAAAAAAAACAAATATTTTTATTCCAACTTAAAAAAACATACAAATGAATATATCAGATTTGCAGGATCAGATAAAAAATAAATATAAAAAGCAACAGTATTAAAATACAAGAAATATGTGGACTCTGCAGTCGGGAGTGTAATAGCCATTTTTATTATTTACTCAGAAACCCAGCGTGGTTTAAACCAGGGTCAGGTATTCATTAGAGCTCAGTGAAACACATTCTTTAAATGTCAAAATCCACGTGAACAATGAACACTGAACGGCATATTCTTTCCCTAAATTATTATTTTTTTTAAAAATCACTTGAAATATTAATCTCCGTCTGGCAAATAAACATCTAAAGTCTGCAGCATTAAAGGAACGACATTGGGCTCATTTTTTTATGAGAAATTGGCACAACTTTCTGAGGTGATTAATAAATACAGTATCCCTGAAATGCTTCAGGATATTTAAGAGGATTACAAGAACAACTCCTTCTTTAGGACATTAGCTCATTCTTTCCAGCTGATTGTAGGACAGATTGAGAATCCAAACTGCATCTTTCCTCATTATTCTGCAGGACAAGCTCCTTCTTCACTATGACTCAATAAAACAAAAAAGATAGAAGGAAATATATTAACTGATTAACTGAATTTCAGATACAGTTTTATATTTTTTAATTATTGATTAGTTGTTGTTAGTTACTTTAAACTGTAATAGATTCAACATGTCTCTTTTAATACGTGTCTCACTTTAGCGGCGTTAGAATAATGTTTAGATTGATGTAAAAAGTACCGCCCCCAGGGGTGTGACCTGGGTGTTTTAAATATGGTTTGCTAAAGACACGCAGGGCTTTTAGGGCAGAGGGAGTTAGAAGGCATTTTGTTTGATAAAATGACTTTTTAGATCTAAAGATAGACTGAGATAGATAGATAGATTTACTGAGAACTGGATGGGTATTTGGTGCATTATTCAGGCTTCCAATTTTTGAACATTTTCTGCAATGAAAGTTTAGATTTTTAGAAGTGGCATTTTGTAAAAAGACTATGAACAATGAATATTTTACCTGCTGTAGATAGTTTTTTAAATGACTTCAGCTTGGATGGATGGATGGATGGATGGATGGATGGATGGATGGATGGATGGATGGATGGATGGATGGATGGATGGATGGATGGATGGATGGATG